GAAGAACAGCTTACTTACCAAATATACCTCATATTATATCTAATTTGATGTCAGGAGTGAGAGGGAGTGAAGGAAAGACAATCAAAAACAAAAGAGAAGGAACTTTTTGTCTTGACCACACACTTAAAGTGACTGTGTATTAGGCAGGGAAACTGTGCAGGACATTTATGAAACATAGGGGGCAAAGATTTTTAACAGCTGGCATATTAAATGTGGAGACTTTGTGCTTCTGTTCCAAAACTCTGAAAGGCTCTTAAAAACTACACTGAAGAGGTTTGGCTGCAATGTTTTCTCTTAAAGTTCAGAAGCAATCATTCTGAGTTAGGACACATCATGGGGGATGAAGCTGCGGTGCGTCTCTCTATCAGACCGCCTGTGTTGTCTGTGCCTGATTTTGTCAGACGTTATTATGACTTCATGATTCACATCAAAGAGGTTTACTCTCTCACAGTGTCTGGGTCACAGTGCAGCTCACAATCTGCAAATAAAAAGCTTTGAGTGTGTATTGACATGGTGTAGGCTGTGGAAATCATCTGCCTCAAAGTATTTGTGGCACATTTATGCTTTTCATCTCATGTCATCTCTTAACATTGCCCTTTTGACTGGAACATTTTCACAAATCTGATTTGGGTCATTGCAAAGAGAAACAAGTGAACTCAAGCTTAAAAAACAGCATTTATTTTTTATGTTAAAACAACTTTCTTAAAAAAACAAAGACGGTTGTAGTTCTTCACAACAAGATGTTAAAAAAATATAGGGATATGTGAGTTGCCATATGAACAGTTTCTTTTAAAAACACCATATGAAAATCTCAGTTGTCATCCATGTTTACAAAAGTCAATAGGATCCCTGAGACTCTAGAAAGTCCTTTTGATTCTAGTTGAAAACAGTCTGTCCATCATGGTACACCCTAAACCAATGACTCCCACACTGGGTGGCTGTCTGAATCCTGACTGTGCAGGGAACTTAAGCCAGTGTCCGAGTCGTCGTCGTTCACACTGTGAGATTTGGACAGACCCCTGGCCCACTCGTTTTTGCTCATCATCCCCATCTTATCATCTGTCCCGAGGCTGCTGCACCCGTCCTCACTGCCCGTCCCTTCATCTATGCCCAAAGTGTTCACTTTCTCCAGCAAATCCCTCATCTCCTTCTCCCTCACCCCGCAAATCTCCTGGGTCAAATCTAAATCGCTCCTAATAGCTTCTAAATCCGTGTTGAGGCGCAGACCAATGTATGAACTCACATCTAGCTGTGTTCTGATCCTCTCCTCTTCCAAAAGCAGCTCGTTCTCTGGTGCTGTGAGAGCCTCGGAGCTGAGGGGGGACGGTGTGTCTTTGCTCTGCAGCTCCACTGTCCTCCTCTGCATCCAGCTGTGGTTCAGCTCCTCCTGCATCTGCACCGTGTAGATGTCTATCAGGGCTTCCTGCTCCCACAGCTCCTCTTGTAGTTTCACCACCTCCTCACAATTCAGGACATACTCTTCAAACTTGACCAGAGTCTCAGCTGAACACACTCCGTCTCCCTTTGTCTCAGCAACATCCACTAAATACGTTTCCTGCACATAGTTAACTCCATGTCTCTTAATTCTGTCAAAATGCACCGTTGCCTCGCACCTGTCGATGTCTGAGTCCAGCTCAGTGATCCTCTGGACCTGCTGGCGGATCGTATGATCCTGAGAAATCACAACATGGACCAAAGTTTCCATCTTTTCCGCAGATGACGCGTCTCTCTGCGCCCTCTTGTTGTTGATCTTCTCCAACTTTCTGAACGCTTTCCTGACGACCCGACGCTGTTTCTCAGGCGGGATGCCACCCATGGGAGACCGCGAGGTGCCCTTCGTGCCACAGGGGCTCTGTTTGCTGAGCACCACCCGCGCCTCTGCGCTCCGGGCTCCTTGTTTCGCCAAAGATGCCTCGCTCTTCACCAGCACGAACTTCACATTCCCCTGCTCCTCTCCCCACGCGAACCAAAGCCGGAAAATCTTGGTTTTGTTCGGTAAAATCCGCTCGAAGCCTCTCCATTTCTCCACGATGCAGTAAGACTGCGGGCATGCAGCTGTGGAGAGGCCGTGTTGAGAGTTCTGGTCCTCCAAAAGCACTTTGACAACATCCGCGCAGGTTGTGCGCTTTGACAAGCCGAAGACGAGCTTCTCCTCTCGGCAGACCCACACTGATATCTTACTCTCCTCCGGCTCCATCATGAATGTCTGCTAAACCCTATTTATTATCAACAGAAATTAGAATTAAGTAGTTCTTAAAATAGATTTAAATCCGCATGTCTGGAGAAAAGCGCAGCTGTGTCCATACTCATCTCCTGTGCGTGCATGCGCGCTGCGTCCCAGAAGCATGAGAAGTTTCTGATGGAGCTGCGGGTTTAGAGAGCACCATGTAGGCGTCTGTGTACTTCAGAGGCCATAAGGCACGATTTCGGTGTGTTTATGCTGTGCCCTCATGAGACTGCCTCTGCTGTGATCACATGACCAGGTCTCAGAAACCAGTTGCGATTGTCTTTGGCTTGTTTAGCGCGGTGAAGTTTTGGATATTTGACAGACATCCAATCCGGGTCCAGCAGCTTTTTCCGCCTCAGTTTCAGAGACAGTCTGCAGTCAGAGCATCGTTAGCTCACAGACGAGCCTTAACTGTTTATTACAGGGTTTCACTAGTAGGGACCAACATTAAATTACTGTTTGATTGACAAAATCAATATTATTTTCAAAACCTCGGTGCCAACTTGCCCATATTGGAGAACATTCGACTAAATATCCTTGAACTAATAATTATGTCTTGTGTGGCACAATGTATGGCTTGCTGATGTGTCATGAACATACATTTTACAAGATTATTTTAGATGTTAAAAAGGGTCCATACCACGTGACACAACACCTCCAAATCAATGCAGCATTGTATTATTACACTGGACGAGTAGTACACCTATTTTGGAAGCTATTGCAATTTATGTATTACTAATTTAGCATCATTCAACCTTTTAGGCAAATAAACACAACCAAGACTAGTGTATTAAAAACACATTTTTTGTCATTCAAAGTGTACTTAATTGATGGTCCCTAAGTGAATCTCTGAGGTATAAGAGCATTATCACTATGGGTCAATATAAAACTGTTTAATATTTTTGATTAAATTCACAAGATACTGGGCAGTATATATATGGTAAAAGAAAGCTGACACTTTTAAATGATGAATACATTCATGTATAAATCCTTTTGATGCAATAATATAAATTATTCAGAAATTGGCTGTTGTGAATATTTCATTAAATTAGTGTCTCACTTAAAACCCCAAATCATGTTGTAACCTTAGAATGAGCTCTTCATATCCACAGTACATACAGAGCGGGCCTCTTTCACAGCTGCACCATTTGTAATCTGAAGTAGCCTACGTTCTGTTTGATAAGGATGGTCTCTGAGAGTCAAGGTCCTGAAAGATATTACAGTACCGTTTTCCACTCGCAGGCTTGTTACTTGTAAACGGAGCGGTGAGCGAATTATTCGAATATTCACTTGGTTGCAATCCTAACCTGCAGAGTGTGTGTTTTCAAGAATATAGACCAACTAGGACTGAGAAAGCTGAGTAATAGTGCCTCAAGAGGCAGTAGGAAATATTTAAAAAATGTTTTAATATATTTGTTTTAAAGGATATAAAAAGTGTTGTATTGACCTTTATCTTTTGAATGCATCCGATCCAGACACAGGTTCTGATTCTTTACGTTGCAAACTAGGAAAAATGACTTACTTTCAAATATTGAAAAACTGTCATCTAAGGCAAACACTGTTTATTGCAGAGCTGCCACTTCCTGCAGGGATCCAGGCTGTGTGGCAGAGACACAAATCAACTACAGTGGAGCAGCGGTGACCTTCTGCTGGATTACACTTTACTGTTTAGTGATATAAGTATTCAGGGTCAGTTTGCTTCTGTGGATTTATATTAGATTGTATAAATGTCACATGAAGATTATAGAAAGAATAGTTTTGTATAACTCAGTAGTGCTAAAGGAGATTGTTTGAGTGTTTAACTGATTTAGCAATATGATTTGTAATAGGGAATTTTGAAACATAATTCACTTTATCATTAAAAAAAACCTTTTATAATGATCATGGTGATCCGTTTCAAAGAAGGATTTTTTATTAAGTCTTTAGAATACCTTTTTTAGGCCGAGACTTCTCTGCAGCACCACGATATTTATTTCAGAATGACATTGTATTCGGAGTACAGGAGTTATCACTCAAACTCAATAGATGACCACATGGTGGAGCTGTGCACGCTCTTGAGTCTTCTCTTGGTCCATGGGCACTGTTGCTTTATTGAACTAAGTATTTCTTCAAACATCCAGCAGGAACGATTTTGGTTTTGTGCTCTTTCACTTTTTTAGTCTGCTTTCAGTGTAAAAAGTTGCCTCTGTAAAACTTTTTTCTGTAGAGCTTTTACTTAAAAAACACAGGAACATAATTCCCATATTACCTTAAGGGGAGTTTTAAAATACGAGCTTTACATTGACAACAACCAAATATTAGTTACTGATGTTGTAAGTTTGTTATCATAAACGTTTATAGACAGCTTAATAATGGGCTAATATTTGTTTAGTTAACAACCACAATATTCTCCGATACCTGTAGATAAACAGGTCAGAATAATTATTATCACTTAATCTCTAAACTGTTTCTGCTTTCATCGATTCTGATTACACTGTACATGTTAGTGCTGCACAATACGTTATAGTTTAGTATTCATTGGTTTTCTTTACGTGTTGAAGGAAGATCATTATGCAGTTAATTTGAAATAAACAATGTCTCCCTCTGGTGATGTTTCCTGTAACTACATTAGTGTACTTAACATATTGTTTGACATGTGACCCAGGACCACGGTAACTCATAAATACAGGAACAGGCTCCACCTGCTGTTGGTGGGAGGTTCCTGCAGTTTAAGAGTTAAGTGGTGCCTCAATGCACACAGTCATGTTATACTACTTTCTTAGTGACAACAAAAGAAGGCAATATATTTTTTGATTTATTTAACTCCAATATTGCATACATACAAAGTATCTAGAAAGCTACAAAATATCTACTATTGTCAAGAAGGCATCATAATATTACGGAGCAAAGACAAGACCATATGCAGAACACAGAAACATAGCAGAGCTTCTTTCTCTCCTTCGCTCCAACACTTTACTGTCCTGGAATACGAAAAGATATCACACATCTGTACCAAGAAAAGCTAAGATATAACATTTTGTACAAAGCACCTTTTTACAAAAAAACAAGTTTGCACACAAAACCCAAACGTGTGTATGACAACTATACGTGAGCTATGTGAAAAATAACGTTAAAGCCACCATCGGAAAATGGTCATAAAACAAAAAAGGTACCAGTACCTACTCTTTCGACAGAATTACAAATAACAAGAGCTAAACTGCTGATATGTTTGTAGCATGATTCCTCGAGTCAGCTATTGAATGTGTCCATTTTACTCCAAATGGTCCACCGGGCGCCACAGAAGGCATCAGTCCTGCTGTTCTAGTGTTGAAACGACAGGTCAAAATGTACCAGCAGTACAGCAGCAACATCATAACCATGTTATTAGGCTTGCAATATACAGACAATGTCATCACAAAACCAAGTACAACTGTATACAAGTACAATAGGAAAACATCTCGATAAGTAATCAATAAATGTGAACAGATACTGGGTAAACATAAGAAAAGAAAGTCCACCGTGTCCACAGGACTGTGGCAAAACACTGAATGATTGAACTATAACTGCATCCACCAGAGACATTGTCAGCAATTATTTAGAGCTTCTTCCATTAAAATACTTTAGATGATTATATTTATTTTAATAAAAAACAGCTAATGTTTGAGTAGCTATGGTCCTTAAAGTGAAAAGTATTAACCTTGTTGGCCTCGTCCACACCAGCAGTTTTGAAAAACTAGTTTCTGAAACAGCTTTCCAAAACATTCTTTTCAAATGAGTAGTGTACTGTAGAATAAGTATTAAATAAAACTTGTGTCTAACCTTCGTCGACATCACGGCTGTTTCTGCAAGGGGACATTATATTTCTGTGTTTTTTCACAGGAGAAACAATCATACTTCCAAAAACCTTTTTTAAAAACACTTGAACCTGCAAGTGTGCACGAAGCAAACAGCTGTGGTGTCGACATCCTGCATGCAGTCAGCAGCTGTACGTTATCAGCAAAGAAATAGGTTTTCTTTAAATACATCAGTTGTGAAATCAATTAGTGTGATAGAAATGAATATATCCTTTATTTTTTACCACTACCCAGATCTCCTCTTGCTGTCATCAGTCCTTTAAAAAGGCAAAGCGGTGATTGGTTTCACTTATGTCTCATTTTTTGGTCTAGCAACATTTAATTTGTAATTTCTCTTAGATTTTTTTGAAGTAGGACATTTTAAACCAAAGGCACTTCCTTGCTACCATGCAGCACAGGACAAAAGATCGACTGTATCTCGGTATTTTTGGTCTTCTACGACGGGAAAGGCAGTCAGTCTGTGTTTTATATAGATCTTGTAAAAAAGGCTGATAACTATCGAACCTGTTACAGCGTTAGAGAAAACAGTTGGAGCTTAAATTTGCAAACTTAATACAAAATAAGTGTTCTGCCTTTTAACATCAACACAACTGTATTTCTAGGAGTGTACCAATTATAAGAAAACAATTTCTCAGGATGTGAAGGTGTACGAAGGAATATATGGCGGTGAGTTATTTTTGTTTAATCCACAAACTGATTTCAGACTTAAAAGCAAAGGGTAATGTCAGAGTGTATTCTAAGGCACTGTACATCTACACTTTGGCAGATAGTATTGTGGATTTCTTACGCAAACATATAGAGTCTTTAATCACAGTTTAAGTGGCATCTTTTGGAGTTGTCACAGCTATAACATGTTTAAGGCTCGGGATCGGCGTAGGCCACAGAAACATGGGAACATAGTGTGGACCTGAAGGCAGCACCACTCTTTCTGGGAGTCTTTACACTGCGATCCCAGAGGGGAACGATATTTGAACTGAACGACTTGGACCTTGCCTTTTATCACCAAAGCAAGTCCAGGAAAGGGTCCAAAGTGCTTTTGGACAAGATGATACTTTTTGAGTACTTTCACCTGCCTAAAACCTAAAAACTCTCCTATTTGTTGTCTCAGAGAAAATAAATGTTTGCAGCAGAGAAGCTTAGCATTGTGAGACAGTTTAAGACTTCTATGATGCAGATGCAGGCTAATGTTTGTAGTGTGTTCACAGTGCATTCTTTCTGTTGTTAGTGTCTAAGACGTTAGTGCTTCATGGAGATACATGTACTACTGAAAGCAGAGTTTTTTTTAAAGAAATACCTGTAATATTTGTAACTACTTGTTACAACTGTCTATGTGCTAATGTATGTTGTGTCAGTATAGTTTCTTTGGGAAATCTATTAGCTGTGGCTGCATGTCTGTATATCTACAGTATGTATGCTCACAAATGATGAACTACAGACACACTAAACACACTCAAACAAATTACACAGACCACATCCGGCCACTCAAAGAAAAGGCCAGCATCCTTTTTTTTCTTAGTTTACGCAACAAAGTAGAAGACGACAAACACATTTCCATTTACTTAATGAATCTAGTCAATTCTTTAAAAACGGCCACATGTATACCCAACAGAGACCAAGATAACATTTTAAGAGAGAATTCCCGCATTTAAACATAAAACAACTGTACCGCAATTCACAGCTGCAGTCAAATAACAAACACATTAAATTAAAACACATTCATAACAACTGACTTCACCCGATACCATGACCAAAAAGCATTGTAGGTGTGACTTTCAGGTAGAGGCACTGCCACTTGATTGACGTTGGTAAATCCATGAAAAGAAGAGGGGGGAGGGGGGAGCCTCTCAATCCTTTACCAGTCTGTAGATGTGATGCTGGGCGCCGTGCTCGCTGTTTGAAACTTCAAACACACACGCCATGCAGAGCAGCGTCTCCTGGGTGTCCCTGTTCGTCACCACCTGCAACACAACGCACAATTTAAGGACTTAATACAATTTCAAAACTCAGCAAAAGCTCATGGTCCTGTTTTCTGATTTCAATCTTGGAAGTTTACAATGTTTTTGTATTTTTTTTATGGGTTTTTCCTTTCGAAAGTTGAATCCTTATACATTTTCAGGAAAGAATGGTGCTTAAAACAATACTAAATACACTTTAAAGTAACTAGACATCCGTCTGTTAATGTTATATCTTTTAAAATACATGCATCACCGGGCATACATGTAAGCAATGGATGTAAATGTTTTGTATTAATAATCGTTCATGATGAATATGCAGCATAATGTTAGTTATTGGGTGGACGTCCCTTTTTTATTAAGTAAACTATTTTATTTAGTGGCTCTTAAGACATTACTTTTGAAGATGACCTATCCATTTTGTAATAGAGCAGTAGTCATAATCAAAGTAAAGAAATATATAAGTGCAGATCTTCAGACTGAAATGTGTAATTTGTGGTTCCTCCAGCAGACTTTCTAAAATGCTTTTCTCAATCTACGACCATCCTCTCTAACATGGTGCTTTTGGGGAACACTTCTTAAGGTAGGGATGTTCAGCCTTGGTTGCGATTTTACGTGTAAAGATCTCTGCCTGTCTCTTTTTTTGGGTTGCTGTCTTAGAAGTGCTGAATGACACTTTAAGACCCCATGTGAGGGCTAATAACGGGGGTTCCTGCCACCTCTTATCCTCCCTTTCCCCCTGCAGATAATGAGCCTCTTCACACTGTGTTTCATCCCCTGAGGAATGAGAGCAATGTAAGACCAGCGAGAGGAAGCCTTCCCAAGGCCCTGCGGACCCCCACCCCCCACCTGGAGCCACCAAACACACCCTGACAGCAAAGAGAAGGAGAAGAATGGGATCCCGCCCCCTGAGGTCAGCGGGGTGATTACCAATAAGATAGTGAAGTTCTCCAGCACGCTGTTCATCATATATTTCTCTGGCAGATGTTTCAGTTTATGGATGAAGTTGATCATGTATTCACACATGGGAGACCGGCTTATCCGGTACACAAAACGTCCGTTCTCAAACCGCGCATATTCAGTCTGAAGAACAAGAGGAAAACAATTGATTAATTATACAGAATGTTTTTAAACCTAAACTCCACACAGTTGTACTGTCGGTACTCATTGTAAGTCACAGCCATTGTTCAGTAGGAATGAACAGATTTGTTTCCGTACCTCTACTTTCTCAACCACCTGCTTTCCAAAAGAGCAGACCTTTGTTGAACACGTTATGGTCATGTTCTCCGAGCTCTCGTACTGACTCGAGACTCCGTAGAAAGATCCGGTTTCATCCTGAATGTTGCAGTTCAGGTCAGCCTGGGAGCCGGAGAAAAAATAGAGCATTTAGTTGCAAGAATTATTTATAATTTACAGGAATAAACCACACATAAATGGTAAAAAGAGGTAAATGCAATAAGCTAAGAAGTTAAGTAAAAAAAGAATAAGTGATGAGCCAGCACTAAAATGTAACTTATTAAGGAATGATGTGTACAGTATGAACTACATCCTTATGTACATCTGCACTTCACAACAAACCTTTGTGTAAGCACATTATTTGGGGAACAACCATCAAAACCATTGATTTTCATAAAGATCTCTGAATTACCTGTAACACAGCCAATGAAACTTTGAAAATAATAATCTGTGAGCAATTAACCCCATGCAGAACAAAATCTGATCAATATTTAAAAATAAATAAACGAAAATAATTTGAGATCCTTGACCAAAATATATTAGTTTTACTTTTGAAAATAATAAACTTGTCAGCGCTCTCTGGTGTACAAACTAAGTCATGTACAGAAAATGTACTGAAATATACCAGCCGGACAATTTTTGACTACATCATTTTAAGTGTTCCCCCATAATGCAATGCACAATGGTTGTTGTCTGGCGGGGAACTATAACAAAAGGAAAGCTGAAACAGCACCGTTCCAAGAACTGCAGCAATAACAGAGTTGTGTTTCTGATCACTCGCTGGAATGAGGTCTCTTTTAGTTGTGATTTTGGTTTCTTGAACAGCTCCATATTTCTTGAATACTTACACGAGAAGACATATAAAGGTTAGTGTTTAGTTCTGTATACAATAGGTATGTAGTGTGATATTGAACATTTGTTTTTGGCCTTTTTGGAGTAAGTCAACATTTGGTTTAACTGCTGTACAAAAATGTATGTTTTTAGTCCCCTTCTTAATCAAGAGTTGTTGAAATGAACATGCAAATCGCACATCAAATAAGAATATCTCGAGTACATCATGTAAATGTGTTCCTTTTTGGAAGCGAGATTCTAAAGAGGATTAAATGAAGCTGCGTTAGAAGACTGATATACAAGGTTGAACTGGCCTGCTCCCGGAGGGCAGCCTTTCTCTGCCCTGAACATCCTGTTCATTAGGGATACAAAAAGAGGAGACGTCCTCCTAAAACATTCTCCTCCTTCATTAAGCAGAGCTGTTATACATTCATTATTGTGCAGATTCTGTCTTTCATTTGAAATGTAGATTGGTCGGTCACTTCAAAAGGAATTTGAGGGGACTTGGCCCAAGTGCATACGCTCCTACTTTGTTGGCTGCCGCTAGTTAGCATTTTGCATCAGGGAGGAAATACATGCAATGTTTAAACAGCCATTAGGAGTGCAACCAGGTCACTCCATTGTTTGGAGATATTACATTGAATTAGCGAGAGCTTTGATCAAACGCTCTCCTGCTATGCAAGTCCAAATATAGCAAAGTGCATTCTGCAAACATTAAGAGAGCAATCTTCTCTGTGTACACTGATTACAGCCAACCACTGAAGACAGACCTGATTCTGCCATCTAACATGTCACAATGAGATTATTACTGATGTGTGTTAAATGTAGTTCAGCTGTTACACTGCCTCACACTCACCCAGAATTTTATTAGGAAGAAGGAATTCTGAGGACCTTTTCCGTACAGCTCCTTCAGTCCTCCTTTCTTTTCTGGGAATTTGTCATAAATCTGACGAATGTCCACCGACTCCAGCAGGGCGTCACTGTAGGAATGATTTGTCTGTCCGATATGTACAAATAGGTGCTTGTTGTACTGAAAAGAAACATACATTGTATTAGAAACATACTTAAAAATGAACATGATTTCATTAATATCCAGAGAATCATCAACACAAAAGGTTCTGAAACACAATCCACCTACAGTATGGCAAGTGGGAACTCATATGTGATTGTAACAATAAACCCTCATGTTGATAACCCTAGGCAACATGGCTTTTTATTTAGCTCTTAGGTTGTATGGTGAGTGTACACATTAGGAAACGGCATTCTGCACCAGTGAAGCCAAAAACAAACCAATCTGCTCTTTAGTATAAACCCCAGCTGGGAATGCCAGACTGCTTCACACTAATTCTATAAACCTTTATTTCATTTTTTTATATACAGACAAGAAAGCCGTATAAAACACAAATCTCCATCTTTCTGACCAAGATAGATCAAACCCTTCACTCACATAAAAAGCAATATTTCTGCATCAAAGGCAACTACAATCAATCTAAATTGCCAATATGGAATGAAAGGTAAGTGCTTTACCTAAAGAACATATTAAGTTGTTCTACTCAGTCAACAGACAATATTTGGATTTCCTTTCACAAAGTGAATACAAATGAAGGTCTGTTAGACCTCCAACCCACGATATGAGCCAGAAGCGGATCACAGGATAACATTTTCACAGGTTTGTTGCCCTCGTCGTGACTGTTTGGATCTCTTGTCATGTGGCGCTGCGCTTCAGTCTAAAAGCTCACAGAGCAGCCTCTTCAATGTGCCTTTAGTGCAAAGGCAACAATTTCAGGCATTAAGCTGAATGGAAGATTTATGGCTGTTGCCATGCGGCATTGATACAACCACAAAGCGTTTAGCATAATGTAAAGAAATATAAAAAATTGCTTAAGAAATGTGAGACGTGAAGGAGCTGATTTGAGTGTGGATAGTCTTGCTGAGTCTGCGGCATTAATACATTTGTAGCAAGCCTTGTAGGAACTGATTAATAAACAGTCCCTCATTATTTCTGCAGGTTTTCAGCTGTGTGTCCCTGCAGGCCAGGCTTCGCCCCTCTCGGCTTGTTTTGGCCTCCTCTCAGCTGACTCTCTGCCTGGGAAACTGTCCCAGTGTATTCATAGAGGAGGATAAGAGGTAGGAATGAACACCATGAGATAGGGATATTTCATGCTCTGGCATAATGCTTCACTCACTGGGTCTTGGTCTCTCTGTTGCTCTAGGAAAGCGGAGAACTCCACCAGATGGAGTTTGGATGTACCGATGGAGCGCCCCTGCCATGCTGGTGCTGTGGGAGCTGGAGCTGATGTGGGCTCGTAACCTGCAGAAACACCAGAATAATACAATACAATACAATAGGGCTTTATTGGCATGACCACATTTTAAACATAGTATTGCCAAAGCATTCCGGACAAGGCGTTATAACGGAACAAAAACAAAAAATAAACACTAAACATAAATGTAATAAGATGTGTCCTGTCGTTGGGCTGCTTTACAGCAGAAGCAGGAGAAAAAATAAACTCTTGCTTTATCAAAGATCTTGTTTGAGACGTTTCAAGGACATACATGTTTTTTACTGACAACATTCCTGTTTACTTCAAAGAAAAGCAAAAAAGCAATTCAGAAACTTTAGAAACAATATGAATTACATCGTTTTTTCATGTCACATAAAAAGAAATATTGATGAATCATACTTATGTACGTTTCATCAATATGTATTTGTATTCCCATTGTCTCAATGAGACAGATGGTTTGCTTTCCGACTTTAAAGAGAAAGCATCTATGTGTACTTTTAGACAGGATTGTCCACTTACAATCAATCCTAATTCACAAAAAACGAGTGGTCTGTGCATGTTTTGTGAATTAGAATTTGGGTTTTTTGATTTATATTTTGGGTCAGTTTTGTAATCAGGTAAATGCTTACTTGAAATGGTTGTTGTGACTGGCTGGATGGGATAGGCTTGCTGAGTGAAAGGCTTTATACTGGAACAGAGAAAGACCCAGCATTAGTAAAAAATAAAATAAACATTAAAGCACACTATATTGAATTTGATGCCACAGTGTACATTTTAAGTTTAAGAACAATACTTACTCTTGTGAGGATCCTGGTTGACCAGCTGATATCATACCCTGCCATAACTGGAAAGTTACATATATTAATAGACACCAAAGAACAAAGCAGCAGCTGTTAGCAACAAGATCAAATGGATCTCAGCTCAGTGTTTAGTGGATGTAGTTATCTTGAATAGCACTCCTTTTGATCTTGTGCTTATCTGATAGTGTCAGTGTTGCAAAGCTGTGGTGTGTAATGAGATTTGGCGCGGGTGACGGTGTGGTTGGCCTCTCGGCGGCCCGGGTGAGGCTGGACAGGATGGATCAATAGTAGGGTGAGTACGAGGCTCTTACCCCTGCTCCGGGGAAGGCTGGGCGCGGGAGGCCTGGCAGGCCCAGCTTGTTGTGAATAGCCGTGGCAGAGACGATCTGAGCCGAGGACATGGAGGCCATGCTCTGGAGGGCTTTGTCCTTCACGGCTTGGTCCTTTAATAGCAGTCACAAAAGGCTTAGCGCTCACACAGAAGGGGGAGGGGGGCATGTTGCAGAGGTAGCAACAAACAGACTAAACACATTAAAAGCACCAGCAGCCTCTCTCAACAGTGCACTGCAAGCAGGTTGAAAGAAGATGCATCTCCATCACTATTTAAGTGTTTTTGCAGGAATGTGCCAAACACTGACTATTGAATTCCATACAATTCAAAAGCTGTGGTATGCACTTCAATGAAAGTTTACTTGTTGACTTATCTACAAATACAATTATTATGAAAACTCATTCAGCAGCACTTATCAAGGCTGCATTTGTCTGCATTTCAAAAAACTCATCTAAACATTGTAAAGATTTACAAAGTAAGACTGAAGGACGCCAGTGCTTCTTGGTTAAGAGGATTTCACAGCTTCAGTTAGTTCCTTTTTTTCGTTTATTCTGTTTTGAATTATCATCAGGGTATATTTACTACATTAATTTCAAATGGCCATGCTTAGTTAATGGACACTGCACACTGTCTGTTGTTTTGGATGTTGTCTTTTGTTAATGTGCTTTCACAAGCTATTTAAAGTCTTACTAAACCTGCTTAATTCAGTGCATCTGCAGAAGACTGTGGAAAACCCTTAAACACAAGCAAACTCATGCAGACTCAGTGGTGGTCGAAGCTAAAAGGTACTGTAAGCATGCTGGCAACAGATGATGGTGGAGCAGAGTCAAGCTACAGTTTGACGACGGTATGATGACACAAAGGGAAAGAGACAACACTAAACTGGGAAAGCACTGAGCAGCAGCTACTGTGTCACTATGGCAAGAGCACACATGCAATACTAGCAGCTAAAGGACAAGGCGTGCCAAACAAAAAATAAATACTCACCATGTTTGTAACCTAAATGCAAACAAACAAGGTTTTAATGTACATCCATTTAATACGAGTATTCAACCATTCAAAAGTCTAGCATTATACAGTACATAGTAAAACACACATTTGTAAAACCAAAGGATTACGATTTGTTTCATTAACAAAATATCCTTGGTCTCTGTGGTGACATTTTCACAATCTGATCAGTAGTCATCACACAAAACAACAGAAAGTAATGACGGTAATTTCACTTAAATGCAATAGACAAGACCAGGAAGAGCAGGTCTTCATCGATGCCCCCAGAAAAAAGGCACACTTTTATTTCTCTTTGCCCCTGAACTCTACTTTACTTTAAATGAGAAAACACAGGGATTCATACAAAAACTGTCTGTTTTTCTTCTGACAGTGGAAAGAACACACACACACACACACACACACACACACACACACACACACACACACACACACACACACACACACACACACACACACACACACACACACACACACACACACACACACCACCACACACACACACACACACACACACACACACACACACACACACACACACCACACACACACACACACACACACACACACACACACACACACACACACACACACACACACACACACACACACACACACACACACACACACACACACTAATGAGGGATCATTCATTTGTGTTGAATACAAGGAGTGGAGCAAAGTGTGAAAGTCAAAATGTATAGTCTGCTCCCTGGAACAAAAGGTAAAAAAGGCACAAGGGTAGTGCGCCTTTGATATACAGAATGACTTCATAGAATATCTGAAATGATTCAAAAGGACTTATTTCACAATGCTTTTCTCCCAAATTAATGTGGCATTGTGAAAAGCAATTCACTACTGCTGAAATAAGTGACAAGAATGCTCTGAATTGAAGACATCTGAACTGGTAGCAAGGACAGCGGCTGACAGCCATAGCTTTGTGACAGTCTGGAGTTATCAACAGATTGAAGGAGAAACAAGAAAGCAGAGAGCGCTTCACAAAGAGTCGGCCATCAGACCGATATCCTCGGGCCTTCAGCTCTCAGCCGCTAACCCACAGCCATTGCCAGCATGCTTCCCAACATTTGGACACTTTGATTGTGGATTTGTGACATTATTAAGAAACGGTGAACATTACACACGTGTATTGACAGATGATAGATTTTTGGGGATTTTAAAGAATTGTAGAGTGAAATATTTCTATTTGTTTCATTAGGTACTGTACTATGGTCACTATTGGTTGACTCTTCAGAAGGAGAATTGTCTTCTAGTGCCACAGTGAGCTCGGTTTTTGTGGCTATGAATGAAATGGGTGGAATGTCATAATTTGGTACAAACGTTCATGCCTACACTATCAGTTAGATAATCCAAAATAGTAAACATTATTGACGCTATTGATGTTAGCATGTTAGCTGGCTGGTGTTTGCATTTAGCTCACAGCCCTGCTGTGCTCAAAGCTGCAGTCGGGGAATTTAACAAGACTCAAATTGTCTTTTTACAGATCGAAAGTTTGCTCGACTGTTTTTCAACACGGCGGCCAGGTCACAGTCTTTCTGAGTTGGCTCTGATGGTTTTTTCTTATAGCACTGGGAATCTGGAAAATGCCAATGGGACCACTGGGGGGAAGGCAGAGGAAGATGCTTTTTTTCAGTTTCAACAAATTATGAAAAAGCTATAGTTTTATCAAAGTTTCCAACCACACAATTAAGTGAATCCTCACAAAGGGCTAGCACTGCTTATTTTTTGTTTAACAATAACATTTCCCCTTCAGTATATCTTGTGGCTTGGGCACAACTCTATCACATTTAAGTGATGATCCTATTTTGATATTTGTTTTGTAATCTCTTATTGGCCAATTTGCCTATTTATTATTTTAATGAAATAATTTGTTGTTGTTGATAAATCTAAAAAGTGTCATTAGTTGTACACTACTACATGGACACTTTGAGCAAAGGGCCCGCACAGAGAAGTAAATGAATGAAAGTGAAACCAAGTAGACAGGCAAGTGACAGCATGTCTGAGTGAGGGTCAGAGAGGTGGTGGAGGGGGGTTAGAGCATGTGAAGATTTGGGTTAGTGGGAATCAGAGCACCAGGCATTCACTCTGTCACCACGGGAAACAGGAAGTTTAGTCGCACAGCAACCAACAAGCCCATAAGCAGAAAAGCGCATACCTTTAGCTTGGAATGAAACTCACGAGATTTCCTTCTGGCAAGAACCTGAATGTGACTAGACACCTGCGGGGAAGGGGAGGGGAGGAAAACAAAGGAAGAGCCTGTAACCATGGCAATGAAAAGCCCCCTGCAACTGGGCAAAGCCAGACGTACCTTAATGGCAGCTTGGATTTCTCGAACTTTCTTTCTTGCTAAGACCTGTATGTGACTAGACACCTCCATAAAAAAAGAGAGAAAACAAATAAAGAAAACAAGAAAAAAGTCGATTATACAGTTCTTTGTTTAAAATACACTTGAGGGAAAAAGGTGAATAACAGAAGCATCTCCAAACACACACCAAGCTAACAGCCAATAGAGCGTTATGCTGTGTGTTGTCGTCACTTAAGTGAGCTGATTAAGGAGGATGCAGGCCCCTTTAGCACACATTAAGAGCACACATTAAGAGCACCCAGATGTGATCTGCTGTGTGTTGAATGAGAAGTGGCTGGTCTAGTATTCTTACGGGAGCGGGACGAGGCATTTCATCGGCCAAGTTCAGCCTCCAACGTTAAAACAGAGCAAAAATGATTTAATATTCTCACATGAAACTCTGTTCATTCAGCAGTGCAAGTAGCAGTAAGAAAAAAAAGACATGTCTGTTGATTGGCGTCTCCTCTGACACTATTCAGGAAAATCAAACCCAAGGTTATATTTCTAGCTTAGGCAAAGTGATTTAGCTATGGCTTTCTGTTCAGGTATATATTTATTCACTATCTACAACTTCCAGTTGACAGATAAGCGAGAGCTGAGTAAGTAAGTAACATGGCTAGAGCTGAGTAAGTAAGTAACATGGCTAGAGCTGAGTAAGTAAGTAACATGGCTAGAGCTGAGTAAGTAAGTAACATGGCTAGAGCTGAGTAAGTAAGTAACATGGCTAGAGCTGAGTAAGTAAGTAACATGGCTAGAGCTGAGTAAGTAAGTAACATGGCTAGAGCTGAGTAAGTAAGTAACATGGCTAGAGCTGAGTAAGTAAGTAACATGGCTAGAGCTAAGTAAGTAAGTAACATGGCTAGAGCTGAGTAAGTAAGTAACATGGCTAGAGCTGAGTAAGTAAGTAACATGGCTAGAGCTGAGTAAGTAAGTAACATGGCTAGAGCTGAGTAAGTAAGTAACATGGCTAGAGCTAAGTAAGTAAGTAACATGGCTAGAGCTGAGTAAGTAAGTAACATGGCTAGAGCTGAGTAAGTAAGTAACATGGCTAGAGCTGAGTAAGTAAGTAACATGGCTAGAGCTAAGTAAGTAAGTAACATGGCTAGAGCTGAGTAAGTAAGTAACATGGCTAGAGCTGAGTAAGTAAGTAAGGGAAGAGCATTTAGCAGCAAATATATATATATTTTTAAGCAAAGATATTCAGACAGTTTCTGGTTCTATAACTTCTCCAATATAATACTTGTCTATATTGTGTGACTTGTGTGTAGAGGGAAGAGTCGCAGAGAGACAAACCACACTGTGTGTCAGACTGATCAATCAACACTCAGTGATCGAATGTCTCTGCAGACACTGGCTTGTTTATCATTGTCTTTCAAGTCAGTGGTCATACGGAGGAGTTCCTGTGAGAAACGGGTTTATTGCCAGGTAGGTTCACACGTACGAGGAATTTGACTTGATGTCATGGTGCATACATCAAATATAAAGCAAAACATTTAAGTATACAGATAGCGAACTGTATTAAGAACACTGTAAAAAGAATATCAGAGATGCTTATTTTCAGCTGATGTAAATACAAGAATAAACTGTTCTTGGATTTATTTTTAGTATTATATTTCCTATGAGATATAAGAGAAAGAAAAATAGCCCTGCATTCTATACATGTATTATACATTATCTTGATTTCTTACAGAAGAGACTTGAAAGAAACATGAAAACTTGAGTCAGAAATCTGCGCTAACCTCTGTGGTAAGAGTTGTTAGTCTGCGGTATGAACACAGTGTCCCAGCGAATACTCTCTGATCAGAGATCTGTTCATATTTCCCAGCTTATTAATACAGGCTTCTGCTCCGACCAAGTGCACAACCTCCTTGGTTTAGTCATGACGAGGAATACTTGCACTGTTAAGCTACTGAGATTTTTAAATGCCCTTGTATTTATTGTGCATAGCTGCTTCAGAATAGGACATGAAAGGCAGCTTTTAAAACGACTTCTGCTGTAATTTTACAATTAGTGACAGTTTTGAGAATGTCATAACCCAGGGACATCTGTTCATGCACCAGAGCATTGACGGGGGACTTGTCAGCCTCAGAAGCCCTCTCGACAGCTGAGCATTGTGTTATTCTCTGTCTGGAAACAAAGGCAGCAGTCTGCGTGCATTTTGATTTGACAGCCCTCTGACACTCATGCAACAGAGACGTCTCTCCCCTCGTCTTACCTGCTTCCGAGTCCTCGTCTTCCCGGTCCGAAGCTTGATGTATCTGGCTATCAGCTCATTTCGACCTGTGTAAATCAAAACATGAGAAATGTGGATTAATGCAAAAATATTTCACATTTAGAGCCTAACATAATATTAAATATCAAGTGAGGAATGGACATGTTTTTTTACATTTAAAAGAAGAAAAACATCACGGCCATGAACATGTTTAGAATGCTCATACACATTTGAGTTTCAAATAAAGGAAAACATAAGCCATCAACAAACAAAAGATAGGAGAGCTTCTGTCAAAAACACCCTCTTCCCCGCTGCTGCTTTTTCTTGGTTGGTTTTCTGATTTCAACAGTTTTCCCGGCCTTACTGTGAAAACTAACTAATTGTAAAATATTTTAAGATCCAGTAAAAGTGATTATAAGCAGCAGTTAAATAAACACAATGAGGTCATTTTACTCAAGACAATTCATAATTTAGAACCTTTGAACATAATTGGGATTTAAAATATCTTTAGTCACAATATCCATCACTTGTTCATTCACAATTTATGTAGGAAGTAATGATAGAATCATACAAATATGGACAGAGCAAATTATAAGGTTTATGTCCATATTTTAAAGTGCATTCAAATCAGAAGGTATATGCATCTCCTCAACAAACCAGATCCTGTCAGAACACCATGTGACATTAGCATGAAAAAACCTTGCAGCAACCCAGCCTTTCAAATTAATCTCATTTAATCTCATTCTCTTCAAAGCACTACGCTTTGAAAGGAAACAGACCTAGCTGTTCATACTATTACAGAACATGATGGCAACTGAATATATTGGGTTTAAAACAGTGCAGCTCCGACTAAATTATAATTAAAGCATAGCTTTGTAGAGATTTCCAATTAACAACGGCTCCAAACATTCTTCTGCCCTCAGCTCTGCTCTAATTGTTGTAGCAATGCACATGACCCCTGCTTAGCCCTTTCATATGGTAATAACATGCCGCCAACCAAAACTATTACACAAATTATAGGTAAGGAGGCACTCTAATTGTGTGTCCAGCTGTAGCCAACCAATGCCATGGATGTGCTCTGCTCCTCTATGAAATGCAGATAACCCTCAATACAATGACACATTTTTCTACATTCACATCATTATCAATTAAGGCTTTACTCTAGTTATGACACAATGGGACCACAACGTAGCGCACATGTGCTAATGAGCCGTATCTTAGGTAATCACGAGAAAAGGCATTTTCCATGAATGGCAGCACATCGGGGATCACAAAGTGTGACAGATCACCTCAAAAGGATATGGGAGACATGTTAGAGACATGTTGCATCTAGACAAGACAAATAAACCATCTGCTTGTTGTTTGTATAATGGAATCTCGTTGCAGGCAGCGTGAAGCATCATCTTGTGATGTTCAGGGCTCTTGTGCGCTGCTCAAGTGAGCTAAATTAAAGATATGGTTGTCTAGGTATACAAGTGTGAATTACAAGCTCCAAAACCCATTATAGGAAAGCTTTAACGAAAAATGCATTGTTTGGTTCATAAAATCACAGAATATATAATAAAAAAATTAAAATATATATATACACAACTTCTGAGAGTTCACAACTTCAAGCCCTCCCATGTTCATTTGTCTGATGCAGAAGAAAACCAGAAAATGTGTTTTATTTGGGAATAATTAACCTTAGAATTTTAGCCCATTTTTGGTTTTAGCATTTTCTGTTGTTTATTGTTTTGTCCAACAATGTATCTATTGTTTTAGCACTGCCACACAAGTCTGCTTCATATTTTCTCTTTAGTAAAATATAAAAATTGTCTTGAGAGAAGCACATTTTTTAGGCTGTTGACCAGAAAAAACTAACATTTAAACATAAATGAGTGAGTTTACATAAAAGTTTTAACCTCGTCAAAACAGCACCTGGCTGTGGCCACACCTACACATGTTGTTTTCCCCTGAGCTACACGAGGGGAGGGTGTGATTTGATGTGGACCTGCAGTTTGTTAAAGGTTGACCCTAAAGCTGTTTTCACACTGAACATTTAGGTGAGGCCAGCCGGAGTGAACCCAGCCACCTGACCTCACAGGACAAATAAACAACATCTGGAGATGGCCGGCCTGTCCACAGCGGTGTAAACTTTACCAGATGAAGCGGGGGCCAGCACTATTTTTCAATCATACACACACTGTGAAAACATAAGATGACAATACAGGCATTCATGCAAACTCCTGATTCCTAGATCAAAGCATACAAATGGCCAGCTGAAAGCTTGCTTACTGTTGAATAATTCATTATTTTCACCAGGCTGGAGGAAAAAACCTCAGTGGGTCCTGGCTGGCCTGCATATCTTTTTTTCTTGCCTGTGTTTGCACTGCAAAACAACAATTGCTGAACAAATGTGACTAAAAATGCATTAGACTCTTTTTCCACATCTTCTAAGTTAGGGTAGTGTTTTTTGTTTGTATTTACAATAATATCTTTAAATTTAGATCTACTTTTGTAAATAGTAATCGAACAAACCCCTTCAGATAAGGAAACATGTACTGATAAAGTACTTATGCACTTTATATTTTATCCATTTCAACAACAACATGTCTCATATTTGCAACACCATTGCAATGTATTACATTTGTATTTGACTAAAAACCTGTTATTATTAGCTAAACATTCGCTAAACCGACTTGGGAGTGTCAACATTTGTATTTTTTACATGCTGTATAATAATAATAATAATTTAAAAGTTCAAATGTTCTGCCAATCTATCGAAACATTAATACGGCTGAAATGCATTATGTCATCAGTATGATTTAAATAGGTTCAATATGGCAGAGCGGAAGACCAACCAGTTATCTTACAGTCGGCCCTGTAAGCTTTTTCACAATGTTATATTGACTCCTGCTGTTTTAGTAAGGCATGGAGAGGCCTTTGGAAATTAACTCTTTATGGGGTGTTCCTGTCACTCAAAACAACAGGGAAAGCATTACATATTTAAGGAGTGACCCCGGAGCAGTTTTGTGCTGTTCAGCAGCTGGAGCAGCCCTCCACCTGGCCGGACTGAACTCCCTTCTGAATCTCAATGAGTCTGGAGGATCAGCGACATGTTGAAGGCACTCCAGCAGCAGCCCCACAAAGAGGTGGAGGCTCAACTTTCTCCAGACCTTCCCCAAGTAGCGGATTCCTCTTTCAGTCAGAAATCCGATTTGGCCCTCAGCACCCTTCCTACAAGGAACCTGAGACAGGCTCCCTCTGTTGTGAATAACAATGGAGTGTTTGGTCGACGTCAATTGAAGAGCAACCTCAGAGATGCACCATCCTACTTCGTCCCTCTAAATTAACTTTTAATGAATTAACCTAAATATGCTCTTCTACCTTCAATATGTTCAAACATTAGTTTGCCGTAGTCTCAGAGGTTAATCACACTGGAAAAAACAGCTGACTTCTCTCTTCCTTATAGTGACTGCTGTGTAAGCCAATACACAGGTTGCCACATACGACCAATATTTACCATTTGTAATTGACTTCAATTTATACACAGCAATCCCATTCAGAATGTCTTTCCAAAATGTGGCTACATGTAATGTCAGTTATTATTCACAATTGTGGGGCACTATAATAACCTGGCAGAACCAAGGTAATTACACCACCATTTGGATATTAATTGAGTTTGTCTATAATAAGAAAAGCCGTCTGAAACACAACAAAATTAGGGTGTTATTGTTGTCCATTTTTAAACTCCACATAGCTACATCTCTTTTGATGTAGTTATTTGTAAAATGCATGTTACCCTTATATTTCTTCAACGAGTGTTTAAGCACATATCCAATCATTTCCTCCATGCATTACAATTTATTTGTAAAATCAATACAGAATAAAGAGAATTACTAGGCAAAATACATACCACAGATGCATTTTACACGGCTTGTTTTATCATCTTTCTAAATTTCCATGATAAAAGTAAAGCAGCACTGAATGAAACACAAAGGCTTGTATGCACCTGTCCAAGATAAACACTCAGGCTAATTTAAGTAATGGCATATTAAACAATTCAACTGGCTTGGTTTTGTCCTTTGAGAGGCAAGAACAATACTTTACCTCTCTGGTCCAGTTTTGTTTTTCTTTTCCTCTTTTTAAAGCATCCATTTCCTGTAACTGCACTCTTTTCTAATGCAGGCACAACCACAGCCACATCTGGCCCAGCACTCTGCCATGAGACGGCGCTGGGCCTAGCCGAGAATCAGCCAGCAGACTGCCTCTCTGTGTGTGTGTGTGTGTGTGTGTGTGTGTGTGTGTGTGTGTGTGTGTGTGTGTGTGTGTGTGTGTGTGTGTGTCTCTCTCTCTCTGCAGGCCTCACAGAACAGAGAGACACCATGTGACTCTGCACTGTAACGACAGATCTATCATTAACCCTTCATGCAGTTTCTTCACTTTCTAATCAATATTATTTACGATACAGTTGATGGTCTCACCGTGGGTTTTACAAATGATATTGTCTAGGTCTTTTTTCAAGAAAATAATCATATGATAGTATTCCTATTATAACTTATACCTAATATACTGCAGAAACAAACATAATATATATTGAAAGAAAATCATTCCAAATATGGGCAGATTCAAATCAGATCTCAAACAGGAAGTTTATATTTATATATAAATATATATTTTCGTGTGTGTGTGTGTGGTGGACCAACACAATGGCCCGAGCTTTCCTGTCATCCGTGATAGATGACTTAAGGGTCTCAGGCAGACATTAGCATCACAATAGACTAAACCAACAATATGAAGGCATTCGTCCCAGGTTTTGGGAATAGCAGGCATGGGCAGGAAGCCTTTTTTTACAACAACATCAATGGGAAGCCACCCCTTGCCAAGTGGAGGAGAACCTGTGACTTGTGGCAAGACAGGAAATTGACAGTGCCCTTTATTGGAGGGAAAACACCATGCTATCAGTTTAGCATTATGTTAGCCCTGGCTTAGAGGCCAAAGGCTATGCTGAGTGTTATGGTCATTATTATCTTTCTAAAATGCTCTAATTCACACATAGCATAATGTCTCGTAAAATTCTCACAGGCTG